GTTTTAAATAATTATATTTGTAATATAAAACATAGTACTTCTTAATAATATAAATTTTATTTTATATTATTTGAATTAATTTTTTTATTATTTTCAACTTGAAAAGATAGAATTTAACACTTTAGTAAGATCTAAATAAAAAGTAAAAATTAACTAATTGTTTTAAAATATACCACTAATTTATAACTAACTTTTGGTCGAAATATAAATATAGTAAGAAATGATTGGACTCAATAATCAAATTGTAATATCTAATTATATAATTAATAGTAAAATGGAAATATATAACAAAAAAACAAGTACAAAAACAAAGTTGAGAAAAACGAAATGAAATAAGTTATTGAGTTCTGAATAGCGAAGCCTTTTTGAAGTAAAATTTTCATTTTACTGGCTAAGGGCAAACTAAAAAAAGAGAAGCAAATGAGAATGATTTGTTTGACAGAAAGAAGTGAAAGAAGTTCAAGTAATTCTAATGCTGGGTTGAAATCCATTAACAGTGACTCCTCCATCAACACAAATAACTTGTCCAGTGATATACGATGCAGCAGGCAAGCAGAGGAAAGTCACCAAAGATGACACTTCTTCCGGTTCTGCGATGCGCTTAAGAGGGGTACGTGACATCACATCATCCACAAAAGCTTGATTTTGGAGCAGCTGCAACAAAAATGTTGAACATATTATTCAACACAACACACACTTTCATAATTCCAACAAATTCTAACTACAACATTCGATAAATTCTTTGTTAAGCTTCTGGTTAAAAACAGCTATGAGAAATAAAAATTGGGAAGAAGGAAATTACATGTTGGACAAGTGGGGTTCTGGTGGTCCATGGTACAACACAGTTGCTTCTTATGTTGTCTTTTGCCCATTCAAAAGCCAAATTTTTTGTAAGCTGATTAATTGCGGCTGAAAATTCAATGAACAAAAAAATTGTTACTGTCTTTCTTTCATGAGAGAAAAGATGCAGTAAGTTTGGTAGTAATTACTGACCTTTGCTTGCTGCATAAACAGATCCAGTACCCATGCTGGTGACACCAGCAACAGAAGAAAGGAACACAATGCATCCCTTTCCAGATGCTTTGAGAAGAGGGTACGCAAGTTGACACAGATTAAATGAGGAGTCTAAATTAACTGTCATCAGCTCTGAATATTCTTCAGCACTGTACTCAATCGTTGGTTTTCTGAAGTTTGTTCCAACGTTGTTTACCTATACAACCACAAATTCATGCATATTTATCATTCATGAAATGAAACTCTGGCTTGTCATCTCAAATTAGGAGCATTTTCACACATCTTATAATTCTTCATTTCTACCTACAAACAAGCGTGCTTTTTAGATATAAAATCATTCGTGGGTAAAAAAACTATTTTTGAAACCGTATGTCCTTGTCACTATTTAAGCAATTTAATTCTATGAATATTTTTAGAATAGTTTAAATTTTACACGATAATTTGTTAAATTCAACTACTAACTTTTATACCTGATAAAATTAATTATGTGTTTTGTCATATGAATAATCAAAAGGAATATATGATGTTAGCGATAATTATACATTAAAAAATTTAAAGACCTTTTAGTTTTATTTTTTAAAATTTGATATTTAAAAAATGGGTTCTATAAGTATAATAAATAATGCATAATGACCAATTAATAAATGCATTAATTCAAATATTAATTAAGGAAACTAATAAAATAAAAAATAAATTAATGCACAATATTCAATTAATGAATCCATACATTCAAATATTCAGCTGTACAAAAAGAATCAAATATTCATCAATGACCCTAGTAAAACTCGTTGCTATAAAAAAGGAAGATTAGGAATAGTTGGTGTTACCAGATTGATTTGAAAGTATTGCAAATATATGACTAAAAAAAGATTATGCAGAAACAGTTTTACACAGAAGAAGAAGAAATAAAAAATAAAGTGGATCTAGATCTAATGGAATTATGCAGAGATTTACCTTACATAGATGTTAAGCTTTCCATTGAAGATGGATGCAACTTTCTGAAGAAGCTTCTCTCTGTCGTGTGGCGAGGACACGTCACACACCGATCCAGTAACCTGAAAGCCTTCACTCTGCCATTCTTCTAAGCACTTGTTGAGCTCTGTTTGGGTCCTGGAACAAGTGTGCACAGCGGCGCCAAACGCGGCCAAGTCACTCACAATGGCGTGCCTGTAACACAGTTTCCGACGAAGAAATATTAGAAGAAAAGCAAAGCAGAATGAAGAGTGGTTTTAGAAGAGAAGGTGCGTTCAGATGAAAACCAACCCGATCCCACGAGTGCCACCACTGACCAGAGCCGTCATTCCCTTCAGACACCATCTTCCTCCTCTCTTACTGCTGCTTTCTTCCAACTCCGCCATTTCCACTGTTTTTCACTCACAAAACAATAAACTATGATTATGTTTTTCAGGATGATGCAGTCCATCCCAAGCTTACATATATATATATATATATATATATATATATATATATATATATATATATAATAAGTGCATGCATGGCTGTTTCACATGCAATGCACCCCACCTACATTGCTTTTGCATCAACTTCAAAAAAGTTAATTAAATAATTAGAGACGATAAATTTATTACTAACATGTACCATTCTTTCAAAAGAAATTATGTTTTTTAAAGTTAAAGTAATTTTGAGAGATTCGTATCTCATTACTTATATATTATTTTCATATATTTAACTAAAATATTTTAAGAAAAAAAGAATTGGTACATCATTTAATTATATATGATTCTTATAAAAATATATGATGGCATTTTGTGATATTTCTTCATTTATTATATAGAAACTAAAACCACACTTAATATTTTTAATTTAATGTTTTAATAGAATATGAGTGGAGTTCTGTTTTTGTTCTTAGATCATGTGAACCATGTAACATCCCTATTATATAATAACAATTATTACATAATAAAGACGTCAACATTCCAATAAAGAGAACAGTCGGATCATGACGTGTAATTAAATGTGAAATTACAGTCATCAAGAAATAAAAGGAACTGAAATTTAAACTTCAACAGTTTATAGATTCGAACACTACATGTGTTCAGATGGGAAACTCCTAAGAAGACTACTCTGCAACCTTAGTATCCTCCAGCTCTTACTCCAAAGGGATTTCCTCAACAACGTCTGCTCTCATCCAAGTGGATGATCATCGCCAGAGAAACATACCCAAACAGCACACAACACAAACAAGTAGGGGTGAGCTAGATATATAAAAAAAAACATGTTATATCAATATCACAGTTAACTCATGGTGTCATACATAGATTTATATAAAAGAACAATTATAGCATGCTCATTGAACCACGACTCACACATCTTTACACTCGCATAGTTCTGCTGGCACTTTCCAACACTATGCAAGGTAAATCCACACATATGACTCATCCGGATTTGTATAACTGTCGAACCAACAGTCGTCTTTGCACTCGCATAGTCTGTTGGTCTTTCTCCAACACTAGCAAGGTAAATCCCCAACCTGCCTATCTCTGCCATCAAAGGCTATAGACGAGGACCTCCCTCTACTCTCACCACTGACACTGTTCTTCTCTATGTGAGCATGAACAATGCTTTGAGTGTAGGGATAGACAGACCGATCCTAGGTTCACTACAGTTATACTCAACAACCACAACATTACATAGTCATCTCTCCCTGAGATGTCCAATTCATACTCACATACATCATTATAGTTCACAACCATGTTCAGATGCATAATTCAAATGCAATAAAATTCAATCATTTTAGAAATCATACAAACTGAATATATCA